TAAGATGTATTGGCCAAGGAATCTCATTTCTCTTAGCTCTACAATTCCCCTTACAATAAATGCTTTGTGCATAGATATATAGGAACCATATTACTCCATGGGAATTTGTCTTAAGAGTACCTGGTATGTAAGATATGGTTAATGAATGCTAACTTTCTTCTAGTCTAAATTAAAATCATGATGTTGCTGGGCACCAGTGGCTCATTCCTATAATCGTAGCTACTTAGGAGACTGAGATCTGAGGATTGTGGTTTGAAGCCAGCCAGGGCAGGAAAGTCTGTGAGACTCAGATCATCAATTAACCACTAGAAAACTGGAAATGGCATTGTGGCTCCAAGTGGTAGAGCACTAGCCCTGAATGAAAAAGTTCAAGGACAGTGCCCAGGCCCTGAGTTCAAGCCCTATAACTGACAAAAAAAAAACAACATGGTGTTATTAAGAGAAAAAGGTAACTCTTTGGTTATATGTCCTTTAGCCTGCTTACTTGAGGTATATAGACACACAACTTCCTAGCAAATGAGTCTGGGATTGCGGAAGACCTGGGATTGATACCACAAAAATCTAATTTAGTTTAACTCAGTTTTGTTCAGGAAAGATTTCCCAGGTAACAAAACTTCTGTTGCATTGTAGAAATCACTGTGAAGAGGAAAAGACCCCTGGACATGAGAGAGTCACTTCATTTTTGTAGAGAACACTACATGAAAGGTCATTGTTCTGCCTTCACGTGAAAAGGAAAACAAATTTGCTTTTTAAAATAGCATATCTCAGAGGAAGCCTTCAAAAATGATAGTTCTCTTCTGATTGAAAAACCATTACACAAAAAAATGTCTTTTAATATATTTTGAATATTTATCGGGGACATGACCTGTATTTACATGATTACATATCCTTACGAAATTTATAATGATCAAATGAATAAATAAACTTGGACACTTACCAAAGGTATAAGTACCAAGAGAAACTAGAATCCAAGTATTCTGATTTCCTGCTAAATAGTCCTGAGTAAGATCCGGAATGAAAATAGCTAGAAGGACTCTAAAAGATACATTAGACCAGTTTATAAATGGCTGATTTCAGTCCATCCCAGGAACTCTAGTGCCAGAACATAAATGATGATCGTTTTTTCTACAGTGTCTGAATCAGCCTCTATGTGGCAATGGTGATGTCCCTATTAGTCTATTGTCTAATAGTCTATTGTATAATCTCCATTTCACTTTGTTTCAGAGTTGCAGTACACAAAAGCTTTGGAGCCAGAATCACGAATTCATCAGCCAGCATAATACTAAATAGTTTATGATGAATTAATGAGCGGAGAAGAACGTTGTCATTTATTCTTGAGGAATAAGAAATTACTTGGAAGTATTCTGGCTGATGGTGCCTACACTTTAAGTGTAGATAGATTTGCCTTTTCTAAATATAGCTACCTTGTAGATCTAGATATGACTATATGTACCAATCCTGAATACTCTCCTATTATGTAGGTCTTTCAGAGACCTGTAGACCTTTCTTATCACAGATTCCTTATGTGACTTATGACACAGAAAATCTATGAGTGTTCATGTGTAGAACCTAAACCATCTTGTATTCTTAGCAAAGAAAGTGACCCATTACATGCTATAGATGTCACAGAGAATCATTTTTCTCACAGAATGCAGGCTGAGAAATATACTATAATAACCCAATATTCCTACAAGCCACACACGTCGGTCACTCTCAACCAACGCATACTTTCTAGTTTTATAATCTCTTAACCACTCACTTGGCTTCATGAACTCCAAACCTTTTATCAGAGGACAATAATCATTTGTGTTCTGAAAAGACTTTTTTTTTTTCCTATTTGGAAAAAGCGACAGAAAGAACAGCAAATTTTGTGCACCTGCAAATTGTAACTCAAACAAAAATCAACTGGGGGCATATTTGTAACCAAGCAATATTAAGTGTATTTTGTAGGCAAGTTGGAGCAAAATGCATCTCTCTAAAGTACTGGAGAAGGTATTTCTAACGTTTAGGTTCATCAATAAATAGCTCCTGGTCACCGTTCTCTTAGATGCATGGAAGAATGTGACAAAGAAAACATGCTTTGCATAATTTTCCAACTGGATTATTTTACCTTCTTACACCTGTATAAGATAGACATCATTTATTTGTCTCATGTAATAGTCTAATCACTGGTTTACAATCGGAAACTGAGTTTATCCTTAGAAAGATAGAATAGAGCTACAAGAAAGATGATCATTTATAGGAAGCTTGCTAAGAGCCAGGCATATTTTTGCCAGGCACTTTGCACCTATAATCTCAACTAATCCCCAGGAAGTAACTGGTTTTTATCATTTCCTTTTTACAAATTAATTAAAATGTTGAGTCTCCAATTCCCCCAGCCATGACGGAATTAGAACTCTAGCAGCTTTCCATGATTCATATGTTCTGGGTTTTCCCAGGTCTCAGCCTGTTTTCTTTCAATGAGGACTGAAAACCAAATTAGAACATTTGGCTTATTTTCAGATTTATAGCTCTGTTCTGCAAATTGTCAAACTATAGCCACTTCTAGCTTGCCTACGCAGAAGATAGAAAGAAAAATGGATTAGTAGGTTGAAGAAATCAAAATTCTTGAATCCTGTAAATTTAACCCTGATACCATAGCTGATTCAGATAGACTCGTTTCCAGAGATCTGCCGAGCTATGTTCCACAAGGCAGAAAGACTGAAAAGTCAGCAGACTAGAGCTGCTCTTTCCTCCAGTGATAGAGGAAAGAGACTTACTGGAAAGAAGAGGTGCACAGACTCATTTCCGTCTTTTATTCTCATTGTAGTGCCACCAATTTGGCTCAGAATAATTTTCCTTTCTTTATTCATTTGCAAATTTCATTTTCTCTGACAGTCTTTAAGTAGATTCTCAGGAATTAAAAATGTGTGTGTGTGTGTGTGTGTGTGTGTGTGTGTGTGTGTGTGTGTGTGTGTGTGTGTGACTGAGGTTCACATTCACACAGTGTTTAACATCTAGAAAATTCAAGCATTCCTTGCCTCTCAGAGGGCTGGTTTGGGTCTCTCCTCTCTTTCTGAAAGAGTTTTCAGGAGCTATTGCTAGAAAACAGAAAACAGTAACAAAGACATTTTCTTTTGTCCAGAAGCGCAATGCCAAGGCACTTTCAGAGTAGGAGAAAGTCTTTCTGCTGAGCCTCTTTCAACCAAGCATTAATATTTATTAACTTGTATTCCACTGTAGACCAAATGTTTCGTATAATCAAAATGAGTAGCAACAAAATGGGAAATTCAAGCAACCTTCTCTTCCAGAGATGGAAAAGCTCAAGAAGGGCTTTGTGATTCCATATTTTGGAGGACTTCTACCCACTCACTCAGTTAAAGCATTTATTGATTGCTCTTTGATGAAATTACTAGAGACAATGACCAGAAAGTTATGAGCTTTCCTTATCAATAAAAGGCAATGGAAATGAAACTGTGCATTAACATTCTCTTAATGCTATATTTTTAACTGGGCTTTTAATAATAGGACTAACAACTATTCAAAAGCTCAGGACTACATTTACCCCATGTTGAATTTAAATTAGCTCAATTTCCAAACCAGGAAAGAGAGGATATTTTTCTTGAGATTAGAACAAAAGAATGTCTGTTAGAAGTTTGCCTATTCACCCGTTCACTGTTTGTGGAGGACATTTTATTTTTCAGGCACCTAGGATTGTGGAGGTTTAAATCAGCCACAGAGTATAAAAAATGACTTACATAAAATCTCTACTATTGAAAATTGCCCTTACTAAATCACTTTGTAATTCCTTTAACAAACTCCTCATTCTTACTACAGCTTTGCATGGTGAATGATTACATGTGGAAAAGGAGCAAGAGCATCTCATTTTTATAAATAATGTGCACCCTGCACCAAGACTCTAAAATAAAACCTAGTGGTGTCTATTCTTGTCTTGCCACTTTCAGTGATTGAGCACGGTGATAGCTTTACTGACACCATGGATCTAGAAGCATGTTGAATGTTCCCTCCTCACAGTTTTAAGTTCCAGCCTAAATATTTTAGTGATAGATTGCCAACCCATCATCTTATATTTCCATTGGAAACATAAGCAGTATGGGAAAAGGCCATACACAGAGATTTTGGAATCAGGTAAGCGTAGATGTGAGTTCTAGTTGTGTGTATGTAGTAAAATTATATACCTAACGTGCTTTACCTATTTTGCAGCTTCTCATTTATAAAAATGAACAGAAAGTCACTTGAAAGATTGTTATAAGAAATACAGATGATGAACACAAGACAACTAGCTCAGAGTTGATATATTGCTTTTCTTTTTATACCAAAATGTGAAAGATCACACTGAAATCGCTCCATGGTGGGTAGCATAATTCACCATGAAATTAAAAGAACAAGAAAAAGGTGCAATACGACAGAGGTGAACATTCTTTACCTGACTCATTTTTGTCTCCAGAGACAGTTTACAATAAAGTTATTTCACATTTCAATAAGGTGTCTAATAGTAATAGTGTTGACTTTAAATAACAGATCTTCTGATTACTAAGAGGGATTGACAGGAAATACAGCATTCTTCTCATTCCCAAACTCCGCTCCCAACCCTATTCACAATCTTAATTGTTCTGCTCTGCCTATTAAAGCTTGGGCATGCTACAAGAGGCAAAGGAAAAAACAACAAATTAACTAAAGTTAAAAATCATTAGGGTTCATTAGCAAATAAAATATGGACTTCAAAAGTGAAGCAATCATTTTTCATGCCACTTTTTTTGAGTTCCATGAAAACACAGACTCATCTCTCCATAAATTTGCTATATTAAATATTTCTTCTACTCATGGTCTTGCTTTGAATGAAACTTCCTACCTTAAATCTTACTTTTTACCCAAATCAGTTCTAGGAAGAGAATGCAGACTGTACCAGAGAATGATTTTTTTTCCCCTTTCCTATTCTCTTTAGTTCTCATCTTCTCTTCTCTCCTCTGACTTTTACATCTTCCTTTTGATGCTTTCAGGTGGTCCGGCCATACCAGACCATGTCCAATCCCATGAGTAAGCTCACTGTTCTGAACAGTATGCATTCCCATTTCATTCTGGCTGACAATGGGACCACTGGAAAATATGGAGCAGAGGTGAAACTCCGGAGACAACTAGAAAAGCATATTTCACTTCAGAAGATAAACACAAGTAAGTAAGCCACTGTTCCCATTGTTATATCTTGTAGGAAGTATGCTGGAAGTAATCTTTAAAAACACAAACAAGCCACAAACCTGGAACAGGTGGTTAGCATGAGTTCTCCCTTCTCGAGGGCCAGTGGTTAGAAGTGCTGAGAGGAAGTCATCTAGGGCAGGACTGTTGGAAGAAATGATGACACAATTAGTGAGCTCAAACTCACTTATTACACACAAAAAACTCAACTCCATTGGGGATTGGGGAATGCAAATAAGCTTTCTTTCCAGACGTAGTCTACAATACTCCAAGGAAGAAAGGCACCCAAGAGAAATTATTTTTGTTTATTAAGTTTGTTGTTGTTTAAAATAAAGAAGAATCCTGTTTTGGTCTTAGCACAGATATGGCTTGACAGAGGCATGTTCATGGTTCTGAACATTCTCTAAGCTAAAGCGTCATGGGAAACTGTCTGGCATCTGGTAGTCACACCTGGCACCCCCTGACCATCTGCTACGGGCCTCTCTTCATGCTCCACGCTGGTGGGCTCTGCTATGTATTCAATGAGGCCAGGAAACTAGGAGAAACTTAAACTCTTGTCTCTTCATTTTTGTATTATTCACTGTCGCTAGGTACCTATGTGTTTAAAGGTCTGTGTACATTTATGTATACCATATGATACAGGTCTGGTAGCCAAAGTAACATGGGTAGGAGCTCCATACTATATATTCTTGCTGTCTTTATAATGTTTCCCAGATAACAAAGTGAAAGTGTCCATCCTCACGAAATAAAATGCACAAAATAAAATGCCATGTTTTTTACAAAGGAACACAGGAGATTTCCTACCTCAAGGTTTGTGATAATTATATAACCCATGAGGGAAACGTGAATTTAATCGGTCAGATTTCTCAAGCCCACAATTTCAAATTTTTTAAAAGAAGAGATTCTCTTTGACTAGATTACTTTTCAAATATCCAACATAACATAGTTCAATGTGTCCAATTCATTTTTCCCTACTCTGGTCTCTTTCTGCACATGTCCACATGGGCCTTCCTCCCAGAATTGGGGCGGGAGACTCCTCAGATCACTCTTCTTCTCATCCTCCTCTCTGATTTCAGCTGTTAACTACTGCTCCCTAAGTAGCCAAGTTTCCGCCTTCACTCTTTCCCAGTGAAAGATAGAATCGTGAGGTCTGGCTTAGGTTCGAAATAAAAACTGTATTCAAAGACACCCTTCCCAAACTATCTTTGCAAAGAACTTCAGAGGTAGTCCACAGTGAACATTTTCTGGAAGAAACAAACTAATAGGACTACAAACTGGGTCACAGGCCAGCACAGATCAAATGTAACAAAGCACTATTATCAATGAGTCGTAGATTTTTTGCCAGAAATATTAAAACTGAGCTTATTACAACAGTGGATAGAAGAGGTAAATTCTGTGTAGTAGAGCCACCCAGATTTTTATATGTGATAATATTTTCTTTAATATCATCAACTTACAAATGAAAGCTTAGTGGACCGAGGTAAAAGATGCAAGATATAGGAATGGAGAAGCCAGAAATAAATTTGGGGACAAAAATCAACACTCCTTGATAAGCAAATCGATCTAGACTGGCAAAGCATGGCATTGTGCCAAGCGATGGTGGCCGATGAGTGGTTAATCAGTACAGTGGCTTTAGTTGCCTAAGTTGAGCACCCACTTAAAAGACGATTCAAACTGAAGTAAAAACCCAGCTAGAACTGTGAATCTAGCCTTACAGACTGCCTAGAGGAAAAGGAGTCTTTCTAATCAGCCACCTTGTGTAACGTAACTAATGTGTTAGGAGGGTGCATTTCTGCAAAACTTGCAGAAATAATGAGTTCCTGGGTAACCTTAGGAAGGCAGCAGAGTGACACCCTGGCCTCCATGAGCGGTAGAGCCCAGCAGTGCAGAGTATGAAGATCAGGTCATAGACATGATCAAAAATGCTGGGGCAGACTACCAAATGCTAGTATCAGGGTAAACTGATCATTGGGGTCACATCTCTTTTCTTTTGTGGAGATGAAAGGCCCTCTTCTAGCCATCAATTATCAAGGCAAGTAGTAGTACATAGACATATTAATACATGCAGACCTAGTCTAGGATATAAAGTAGAAGAGAGACATAAAACCAGGATCAGGAGACTTACTTTGTTGTCTGTTTTTGAGCCATCCTAGGACCCACAAGCTCCCATTCAGTGATTATAATCAAAAGGTAAAAGGAAGATTACAGAAGCTCAACAGAGCACCCTCAAATCACAGAGGTGGTCATCCTGAAAGTACAGGGGAAGGAATCTGCTCGTGGGCCACAGTGAATGCTATTAAGAATCATTTCTGTTTTGAGAGATTCTTCATGATGTCAAGGTTTATATCTGTTCTATCCCTAAACTTTAATTGTGATAGGATAACTATCCTGCCATAGTTTGCCTGGTGGGATCAAGAACCTCCTCAGATGCAGTAAGTAATCCAGGCTGTGTTCAGTTAGCATCAAGAAAATGGCCCACAGTGATTTATAGAAGCCCCAAGAACAGAACCAAGAAGGTAGGCAAAATAAATAAATAAGTAAATAAGTGGACCGAGTCATACCCCAAAGCACCATAAGACAGTCCTCCTCAGTCAATATTTACAATAGTGAATCTACTTTATTATCTGAACATGCTTTTATCTCCCTTCCTATGATACTTCTCTGTAACATCTGCTACTTTAAGTTCCGTCCATTTGAGATACAGTTTCATTTCCTAGCTTAAAAATCTAAAACAGGTTTATAGCACTCAATTTTCCAAACATTAGACATTCTGCCAACCTGTTACCCTTACCAGTGCTACCCTTAATGTGGTCCTGGGTATGCCCATATACCTCAACATCTTCAAGTGCCACATCACCCTCTCCCTGAGAACTAACCTCCCCCCAGTAGTCACTTGTATTCTCTGACCTAAATGACACATCTTCTGGAAAATATCTCCCTTGACTACAAAGTGAATCCTTCACATTAGACCCATAAGGCATTTCTCACCAACCTGCCAGTTGTAATAATGACCTTTCACAAATACCAAGTGTCCTATACTTTTGCCAGTACCCTGACATCCAATATCTCATCCTGATCCCCTCCTCTACTCATTCCTGCTATCAACAGTCAGAACAGAGGCATTGCAGGGGATTCCTGATGGGCTTTGTGTATAATAATATTTTTTAAAATCCTTTTAGGCATAAGCATTTAAATGACCTGCTTTAGAATATTCTTCCATGCATAATTTTTTAGGCTCCAAACATAATACACAAGGAAGAAGGTCAGTAAATAATCATGAAACTCCTGTTATGGACAGATCATAGTTAAGGTGTGGAAGACTAGCAGTGAATGATTTATTGAGCCTAAGTCAAGGATAAATCAGGTAATGCGTAAATAAGCAAATAAGTGATGCCTGGCAGAAGACAGTGCTACTAAGGAAAATGAAGTCGAGGGTGGGCTATGTCCGTGTGAATGCAGACTAGGGATCAGCAATGGCACGCAGGAGAAATGACTGAAATGTAGGGATTGTTGGGACAAGAACATTCCAGGGGGACAGAGAGCAGACAGAAAAGCTCAGGGCGTTAAGTGAACAACTGAAGTTTAGTAAATGGATTTGAACCTGAACATTTACAGGACCTTTTTTTTAATGCTCAAAATACCACTGTGGTTGTGAGTAGACTGAGGTCAAGGGGACAATTAAAAGCAAGGAGATGCTGGTAGAAGGCTATTGAAACAACTGAGAAAGATGAACGTGAGTTGAATAAAGATGGCAGCAGGAAGAGTGGTAGAATGTGGTTGGTTTTAAGATATGAAATACATATGGGCTGCCATGGGAAGTAGCAACTAAATATCCTGAGGAGACCTTAAAATTCTAAGCAAACATTTCTATGAACATTACTGTACATTTTCAAATATGCATGAAAACTAGAGCATACTATAACAGTCAGGCCATTACGTTAACTATCAAAATACATCTTACCTATGTCTGACATCTTAAAATGGTTCAAGAATACCCTATAACTATCAACCAGGTTGTACATTTATTAACCTGTGACCACATTCATTTCCTCTCTTATATATACCTGCTTCCTCCTCTGTTTTAATTCTGGAGGAAATCCAAGCAGCATATGATTTCACACAACAATATTACTATCAAAGTATTTTTAACTTGGTGTTAGCCACACATATCCTAAATTTTAAATGTACTCCCTGACTCAGTAGCCACAAAAAAATGAATACTGATCCAGGGATTTAGTTTAAGTACACTGTTTCAAGGTCACCATAACCCAAGAAATATTGATCTGTTCTCTTGTAATACAATAGAGTAAATACTGACTAAATCAACCTACTATGTATTTTTATATAACTAAAAGAGCAGCATATGGGTTCTCAACATGCAAAAGTGATGAATGCTTATTATTATGCTGATTTTATATCATGCAGATATATTGAATTATAAACTATACCATAAAGATGTATAAATGTTGTCTCTGTAAAATACATACTACTTCATGATAAAATATATCTTAAAAAGTTAATCATCTTTCTACTCCCAAATTCTACTTTCAGCTAACCAAAAACAGTTTAAAACAAACAGTTCAGTTCTTAACACATGAAGATTAGGCCTGGCACCTTTAATCCTAGCTACTCAGGAAGCTGAGATCTGAGGATCAGGAAAGACCTTGAGACTCTTATCCCCAATTAACCATTGGAAAACTGGAAGTGCACTGTGGTTCAAAGTGGTAGAGTGCTTGCTAGGCTTGAGCAAAACGAGCTCAGGGACAGTGCCCATGGCCAACAAGAACAACAACAACAAAAAAAGTAGAAGAAGGTTAGAAAACTCTCCAGCAATTACAATTTTCTTTCAAGCATTCAGGGAAGAATGTATCTTTGGAGGAGAAAAGCAAGTCTTTGTCAGTGGTGAGTGCTATAAACTAGTGTCAGGTGGACTTGGGAATGAATTCACATCATCATAGCCTTATCATTTTAGTTGTTAG